AGAGAGCAGGGAAATCACAGGTGAGCCCTGGGCAGGGGGTTCTACGGGCAGCACACTCCCCCAGGAGTGTTTGGAATTGCCCACCATTCCTGCAGGGAGCTGCTGGGTGGCACTTGCTAGCACCAGTGTCCCTGTTCCCCGGAGGTGGGATGGAGACAGTGCCCACTCGCTGCACCCTGCGGGTGCCCCACGCAGTGTTCCCTAATTAATTAGATCCTCTGTTAACGAGTCGGAGCTGACACCTAGTGGGGCCCGGCAGCGCTGCAGGAGCCCGCGCAGTGCCCTGGCACAAGGGAGGGGGAGATGCCGCCCCTGTTCCCCCCAGCCAGGGTTTGGGGGGACACAGGCACAGCGAGGGTGGGGCTCTGCCGTGTTCCAGGGCTTCCTGCGGCTCCGCTGGTCCCGCTTCACCCGGGTGCTCCTCACCCGCTCCTTTGCCATCCTGCCCACTGTCTTGGTGGCCGCTTTCAAGGACATCAGCCACCTCACAGGCATGAATGACCTGCTCAACGCCCTGCAGAGCATCCTGGTAAGGGGCTGCTGGGAGGGCATCACCTGCCCCCAACACCCTGGCCTGGCAGCCATGACGTCCCCATCCTGCTCTCCTTTCAGCTGCCTTTTGCCGTCCTGCCTGTGCTCACCTTCACCAGCCTGCACCCGCTCATGCAGGATTTCAGCAACAGCCTGTGAGTGCTGGGGCTCGGGGAGGCACAGGGGAGGCAGAGCAGGGAGCTCTGGCTGCAGGCACCTTCCCTTTGGCCCATCCTGCCCCCCCAGACCATGCCATGGGGCAATTAGTGCAGGGACATTGGAGGGGTATGTTCATTCCCACCTGCCCAGGGCAGCCAGAGCAGAACAGACCCCATCACTACCCTCATCATCCTCCTCCCAGTGACACATCTGGTTCCTTGGGCACCCTGGACCCTCAGCATCCTCCTGGTACTGCCAGCCCTGGATTTGGAAGGTGGCCAAAACCCACACCTAGAGCCCCACCACGGGGTGAAATATAGCTGTGGGGTGCAGAGATGCTCCTGCTGGGGTCTGGTTCATGCACAAACTCAGTTCCCCCAGCCCTCTGTGCCCAGTGGCTCAGAGGTGGGGGCCCTGCCCTGGCACTGATGCCCACTGCCCTGCTCGCAGCCCGGGGAAGGTGCTGATGACCCTCATAACGGGGCTGGTCTGCGCCATCAACATTTACTTCGTGGTGGACTTTTTGCCAACACTGCACGGCCTGGAGTACCACATTCCCCTGAGCCTGCTGCTGGCTGCCTACGTGGCTTTCGTCGCCTACCTGGTAGGGCTGGCACCGCGGGACAGGGGCGGGACAGTGTCCCTGCTGGGTGCTCATCCACCTGTCCCCTTTGTCCCTGCAGATCTGGACATGCAGCATCGCACACGGAGCCCGCTTCCTGGCCCGGGGCCACCACAGCCGCTTCAATTTCGGTCTCGCCCTCGACCCGACAGAGACGCGGTGACAGAGCCCATCCCTGCTTGTTATCCCCACGTCCCTGCCCGGCGCGGCCTCCTGGACACGGATTTGCTGCCACTCCGAGTCCGGGCACGTTTTACCCAGCAAGGAAAGGGTTAACAGACAGGCAGACCTCCCCCCAGCATCTGAAAGCTCAGCGCTTCTTCCCACCCCCAACCCCCGCCAATTCCGGGGTGCTGGTCCGGGCTGGATGCGGGGGGAGTGGGACGGAGCGGGACATTCTCCCATCCACTGGCACAGACGCTCCAGCGAATGAGCCGCGGCGGAGACTTCCCCTGCTCATTACTGCCGGCCCCCGGGACCGCTAATTACCGCCGGGGACCGCTAATTACCGCCGGGGACCGCTAACCACCCCCCGCCGCCCGGGACCGGCCCCGTCCCCACGGGGGGTTCCGAATCTCGGGGGGCGGGGGACGGCTGATAAACGGCGTGTTTGGAACCGGCCTCGGCCTCGCTGCTGCTGCTGCGCGGCCCCGGCGTCGGGCGGGGACCCCCCGGGCCCACCCGCACCCCGGGGGCGGCCCCTTTGCCCCGGGCGGGGGAGTGGCCGGGCTTGCCAACGCGTGGGGGCTCGGCGCCAGCTTTTCGCATTCCCGCGGGGGGAGCGGGGCGGTGGGGGGCCCCCCGTGCCCTCTCCGCCCCGGATGCCCCGTTTCCCGCCCGCCGGTACCGCCGGATGCGGCTGCGGAGCCGCCCGGGTCCCGCACGGCGGGCGGGGGTCCCGGCGCTCCGGCCCCGCCGCCGTTCGGCTCGCGCTTGCGAGACGCTCCCTGGCCGTTTCAAGGCTCCCCGCTCTGCCCAGGACCCCCACCCCGAAATCCCCCTTCCCGACCCCCTTCCCGACCCGCCGCTGCACGGGGAATTCTGGGGGCGGGCACCCCCCCAGCCGTGCCCCCCACCCCGGGAAGGGACCCCCCCGCTCCCGGGGGCCGCGCTTGTTTATGTGAAGAATGTCCCCTTCCTTAAAAGGGCGATGGCGGACGGGGTGGGGCGGTGCCTCCCCCGCCTCCGCCATGGCCCGGCCTGAAGGAGGAGCCAGCGCTGTGGGGCCCGCTGAAAGGCGGGGGCTCCCCGAAAGGCGGGGGCTCCCCCTGCTCCGGGGGCGCTGCCCACCGGAGCCACGGGAGGAGGAGCAGGAGACGCCCCTGGCTCGGGGTGCACCTGCCCGGGGGTACAAAGCCTTGAGGGGATCACCAAGGGGTGGGGGACAGCGGGGTGTCTTCAGTGGGCAGAAGGCTGAGAGGACTGGGATCTGCAGGGTTATGCCTGTGGGGTTTGCTGTTCTCCAGCTGGAACCTGCAACCCAGAGCGCCCTCAGCCCAGGGACACCTGCCTCCATCCAACCCTTAGGAGAAGTGTCCCACTCCAAGACCTGTCGGTCTCTATCATCCCTTGGCCATGGGACTGCTCTCGGTGGGACACAGCTCCCAGGGCCAGGGCTGGCTTGGAGAACAGGAGAAAGCCTCCAGGACTCCACTTTAGGAGCAGTGGGGTGGGATAAAAGTGTCCCTGAGTACACGATTGAGTGGAGCCTGATGCTTTTCTGCCTTGTGCCCGCACCCTCCAGCCCAAACAATCCAGCTGGGCTCTGCCTACTCCTGGCCTGGGCTTGTCCCACAGCCCCAGGACAGGGACAGCCTCTCCCTGAGCTCCCCAGCTCAACCTGCCCCCAAGCAGGCAGTGGAACTGGAAGTGGTGCTCCAACCACCGCTGCAGGCACTGGACCGGAGACTTTTCTAATTGCATTAATTGGAGGACTGACAAGACCTGTCTGGACTCATCAGGGAGAGAGGAGGAGGAGGATGTAGCCAAAGGGACAGGGGTCCTGCAGGCGACAAGTGTGTGGCCTCTGCAGCTGTCCCCACAGAGAGCAGCACCCCCAGCAGCCCAGCCCAGCCAGATGCTGGGGATGAGGCAGACATCCCATGCACCTCCACCTGGGCTAAAGGAGCACAGAGGGCAGCCCAAAACAGAGAGCAGAGGAAGCACAGCCCCTTTCCTCCTTTTCCTCCTGCTGGGCCAGGAGACGGCGGTGGCTGCCCGATGTGGGAGGTGGCTGCCGTACTGAGGAGGGGCAGAGAAACTGAGGCACGACCGCTGCCCGCCGTCAGAACCGGCGGAGGGGCGGCAGGATGCAGTGTCTCTGCTCCCAACAGGGGCATCCTGGCACGGCTCGTGGTGCTGGGATGTTCTGCGTGGAGCCGAGATGCGGGAACCGCAGGTGGAAATCGGCTTTTGTACGGCCAGAACTGCAGGTGGAAATCGGCTTTTGTACAGCCTGAGCTCCGCCAGCCCCGCAGCTCCGCGACTCCCTGCGGGGGCACCTCCCAGTCCCGGAGCCCATTCCCCAGTGCCGTCCCTGTGGGCCCGTGTCACGTCCCTGCTGGGCCAGAAAAGGCGATCTCACCTCCTGAAGTTCCCAAACCGCAGGCGGGAGAGATGGAAAGATTTCAAACGAGCTCAGATGGGACCTTTCCAACCTGCTGCAGCCTCGAGGCAGCGCTGGCAGAGCGCGCAGCATCTCCTCCGCCGCGGTGGCGGGGTGGGGACCGGACGGGCCCCTCCAGGGCCGGCCGCTGCCCGGGCGGGGTTGGGGGGCACGGCGGTGAGGGGCGGCCCCACAGAGCCCCCCAGGGCTGGGGAGGGGAGGGGCTGGGGGATGCTGCCCTTGGGGGGCTTGGGGGGCGGATTTCCTTTGAGGATTTGTGCCATCCACAAGCTCCTGTCAAGAGGCGCTTTGTAGAAAGCGCCTGGAAACAGCCCGCCGAAGGTAGGAGGGAAGGAGGTGTAAGGGAAAATATATGTATTGATAATGGAGATTTATTGATTGCCCAAATAATTGGGGGATTGCAGGAGAAGGAGCGATGGAAAAACGCGGCGGTTTTTGGTGCAGCCCGCAGCACCTGCTGTCCCGCACGGCTGGCCGGGCAGGCAGTGCGGGATGTGCGGGATGTGCCCTCGGGGCAATGGGGACCTCTCTCTGCTCCAGGGGACACCCCGCACGGCGGGACGGGCACACACACCGGGGGCAGCTGCAGAGGGGTCCCCGCGCTGCCAGCAGGGTGCGGGGTGACAGCAGCACAGATCCCTCGCTCCAAGCTCCCTCAGCCGGAGCGTGGGACAGCCCGGCGGCGTGTCGGGGACTCCTGCACCATGGAGCAAGGGTGTCCCTCCCAGCGAAACCACAGAGCTGGGTCCCAATCGCGGCTCGGCGGGGACCCCCACTGCAGCCGGGCGGCGCGGGTGCCGGGAGGAGCGAGGAGGAGGAGGAGGGAGAAGGAGGAGGGCCCCCCCGCCGTCGTTGCCCTTTTAAGGGGTTCCTTGAAACCGCGCCCGGGATCCATGTTTGCAGCCCCAGCCCGGGCGGAGGAAACTCCATGTTGTAACAAAGTTTCCTCCGCGGCGCCGCTCCCGCGCCCGCCGCCCCGCGCCGCCGCCGGCCCCCGCCCCGCCTCCCCCCCCGGGGGCCGCGCCGGGGGGGGCCGCCCCCTCCCACCCCCCCTCCCCGGCGCCCATGGAGCACCAGTCCATCATCGCCCAGGTCAGCAGGGAGGAGGGGAGCGCCCCGCTTCAGGAGAAAGGTAACGCCGAGGGGGAGACGGCTCCCCCGCACCCCCTTCCTGCGCCGCACAGGGGGAGGTCCCCGGGGGGCTGCGGGCCTGCGGGGGCTGCTCCCGGAGGGTGCGAGGAGCTGCGCGCCGCCTCAGCCCGCCCCCCTGCATCCCGCCGCCAGGGCTGGAGATGCGCCGGGGCTGCAGCTCGGAGCGAGCGGGGCTGTGTGCGCCCGCCCGGGCGCGGGGGGCCGAGCTCCGGCCGCCTCGGAGCCCGCCGGGGCCCTGGGAGGTTCGGGGCGTTGCTCGGATTATCTGCGCTGCTTCCTCCGGAGCCGGCGAGAGGTGCGCGCAGCGCCGGCGGGGAAACTGAGGCAGGAAGGGCGCCGGGCGCCCTGCTGCATGCCGGCGTCCCGTTCCCCGCGTCCCCTCCATCCCGACAGGGGGGTCTGACGGGGGCCTCTGCTCGTCTCCCTGGCCTGGGAAGCTGCCAGGGCCGGGAGGAGCAAACGTGGGAACGGGCCCCGTCCCCAGTGGGAGCTCCTGCCCCACGGGCTCTCCACTACGGGCTCGGGGCTCCGGCCCGCCGGAAGGGGGGCACAGCCAGGGCGGGGTGCAGCCCCGGGCCGGGATGCGGCAGGACCCGGCCCCGGCCCCGGCACCGGTGGGGCCGCTGGAGCCGTCGCGCTGCCCCTGGGGCACGGGGTGGGCAGGAGCAGCCCCTCTGCCTCAGTTTCCCCGCGCTCTGCCAATGGGAACTGCGGGAACGGCGCCCAGGGGCGGGCGCTTCGTCGTGATTGGCCTCTCGCCTCCGGTGCACTCGAGTCGGCCAATGAGACGAGGGAGTTGCTGGAGGCGGGGAAAAGAACGGGCATAAGCCCCGCCCCCTCGGAGAGACCCCGCCCCCAGGACCCCCCTCCCTCCCGAGTGGGGCCGTGTCCCCCGGGAGGGACAGCGGGGACCGGCCCCGACCCCACGGCTGCCCCTGGGCCCAGCCCCGCGCCCTCCTGAAGGGTCTCCGGGGGGCCCACGGGGGTCGCTCGTGGAGTGGGATGTGCCGGGTGAGGGGCTACGGGCGGTCAGCAAGCACTCCCGTCAGCGGCGCTGCCCTGGCACCGTTGCTTGTCAGGGCAGGAAGGCCCGGCGGATGGGTGTCGGGTCTGACAGGGGCACGGGGGCTCTTGGGCAGCACCCACACATGGCTCACCTGGCCCCCGGTGCTGTGCTGGGGGTACCCCGGGTACCCCTCACCCCCCTTGTGCCCTCCCGCAGGTACCCAAACCCCTGCCAAGAAGCCTCGGAGCCGCAGCATTCTCCAGTCCCTCTTCTGCTGCCTGTGCCGCGATGAGGGAGAGCCCTGCACCGGCACCACCGGCGCGCCGCTCCTCGTGGAGGAGAACGGGGCCCTGCCCAAGGTAACCCCCAAACCCAGCCTGGAACCGGTGGGGCCGGGCTGCCGTCCCTGCGCCTCCCCGGTGGTGTGGGCAGGGCTGGGGGTGAACAGCCGCTCCTCCCAGTGCCCCCTCTGGCCCTGCTGTGGATACCGTGCTGACTGTGTCCCCCTGCTGCAGGCTGCTGTCAAGCACCTGCTGCCCGAGATCAAGCCGCAGGACGCCAGCAAGCTCTGCGTAGTCATCGACCTGGATGAGACCCTGGTGCACAGCTCTTTCAAGGTGGGGGACACCCTGGCCCACCCCACTTCTCTCCCCCACATGCTCCCCCAGCTGCTCTGCCCCCTTTTCCCCCAGAGTGATGCCCAGCACCCAGCGCAGCCTGGCTGGCTCAGTTGGGGTGTCCCTGTGAAGGGGCTGTGGGGCTGGCAGGGGGGCACAGTGAGCATGGAGCAGGTAGCATTTGGGCAGAGGGTGCCTGGCATGCCCTGTGCTCATCCTGGTGTGCCCTTCCCCAGCCAGTGAACAACGCCGACTTCATCATTCCCGTGGAAATCGATGGCATCATGCACCAGGTAACAGCGGGGTGGGTGCCTGGTGGGAGGGGGGCATCATTCCACCTCCCCCAGGAGCGGAAGCCATCCTGGGGCAATGGGAGGTATTGGGGTGCCAGCTTTGCAGGGGCAGAGGGGGGTGCCCCTCTCTTTGCAGGGCAGGGAGGTGAGGGGTGCCCTGGCATGGTGCCTCCTGCAGTGGCCAGCCCCGGTTTCAAGTAATCCAGGATAGGCTGTGGTCTGGGCAGTCAGCCTGTTCTCGGTTACTTGGCTCTGGAGCCGGCCAAACTCTTCGCCCTGGACACTCCCGTGGGGCCATGGCATCCCCAGCCCCCACGGGCAGCTCCCGTGAGGTGTGGCCAGGGAGCTGCTGGCTGTGGGGTCGCAGGTGTCCCCTGGGGAGGACAGGGGGGCGCTGGGTGAGCCACGGCCGGTGCCAGCAGCGCGCTGCCCTCTGTCTGTCTGTCTGTCCGTGCCCGCAGGTGTACGTGCTCAAGCGGCCGCATGTGGACGAGTTCCTGCAGCGCATGGGCGAGCTCTTTGAGTGCGTGCTCTTCACTGCCAGCCTGGCCAAGGTGGGTGCCCCGACCTGCCCTGGCATCGCCCATCCCTTCCCAGGTGCCCCTCCAGTGGCACAGCTCCCTTGCCTGCCCACCTGCAGGCATCACTGGCCTCTTGTCCCCTGGGTACCCGTAGGCAGCACCAGCCCTGGGCGGCCTCTATACCTGTCCCTCCAAGGCACTGGCCAGGGAAACTGAGGCACAGTGAGAGCTGGATGCCATTGTCACTGTGCGGTGGGCAGGGTGGTGTGGTGTGCTGTAGTGATCCCCCTCCTGTGCCTGTAGTATGCAGACCCCGTGGCTGATCTGCTGGATAAATGGGGGGCTTTCCGGGCACGGCTTTTCCGGGAATCCTGTGTTTTCCATCGCGGCAACTACGTGAAGGACCTGAGCCGCCTGGGCCGCGACCTGCGCCGCATCATCATCGTGGACAACTCGCCCGCATCCTACATCTTCCACCCGGACAATGCTGTACGTACCCACGGGGCACGGCTGGGCGGCCTGGGCAGCTCATGTGCTGGGGCACCCTCTCCCAGCGTTGTCCCCCCTGCCACTCTGTCCCCTGTGCCGCCTGCAGGTGCCCGTGGCCTCCTGGTTTGATAACATGGCAGACACGGAGCTGCTGGACCTGCTGCCCTTCTTCGAGAGGCTCAGCAAGGTGGAGGACGTGTACGCAGTGCTCAAGAAGCAGCGGACTAACAGCTAATGGCCCCCCCACGCTCCGGGTGCTGCCAAGGGCACCGCGGGGGAGCCAGTGCCTTGTTCTGGGGGAGGGAGGGTCCCGGTGTGCCCCCATCATCCTCCCCAGCCCCGGCGCGTGCGATGCCCTCCGTGCCTGTGGCTGGTGGGAGATGTGGGTGCCTCCCTTCTCAGAGGAGGGGGGCCATGGGTGACCCACCGCCTTGCTGTGCTGAGGACCTGTTGGGGGGTCCCATCCTCCCCCACTGTCCAGCTCCTGCCCCTTTCCCCCCCAGCCTGTGTCCCCCCTCCACGAAACGGTTCTCAGGTCCTTTTCCCCTCTGTCCCCCGACTGGGGAGGGGGGTGGGGTCAGCAGCTGCTGCTTTCCACTGCCTTTGGGAGGACTGGATCCCTCCATCCCGACTGCCTGCTGGGAGGCTGGCGGCCCTTGGCCCCTGTCTGCCGAGGCTACAGGACAGTAACACCTTGTCACCCTCCGAAAACGCAGGGAGTCTTACTGCCCTTGGTGCATAGGGCTGCCACCAAACCCTTAACCTCGAGGGGGGCATGTCCTTGCCTCTCCTAATGCCTGCTGCCCCCACCTGGGGGTTGTGTTTTGCAGGGGCTGCCCAGCCTCAGGGCTGAGCCCCTGGGCACAAATGCCTCCCATGTGCCTTGAGACACCGGGTCTCTGTTCCCCTTTAGCCCTGCAAGGGGTGTGCCTGGGGGGGCTCTTTACTCGCCCCCTCCAACTTCGGTTTTTTCTCATTTTGGGGGGGAGGTGGCCTCCCCCCCTCTCCAGTTACACTGTGTCACTGGGAGCCACTCTGGTCACCCACAGAAGGGTCCCCTCCCGTGGCAGGGGCACAGCCCCCACTCCATATCCATCTGCAGCTTCACCAAAGGCTGCTCGTCCTGGGAGAGAGGAACCCCCATACCAGCCTTAACGTGCCCCTCCCAGCCTTGCCCCAGCCCCAGTGCCCAACTGGGAGGGCTGGGGGACACTGCAGCCCCCCATAGCCTGGGGTTGCCCTGACCCCCGTGGGGTTGGACTTGTGCCAGGGTGTCCCCCGGCTTTGAGGGTCTGGGGGCTCTCAGGGAGGGTTTTCCTGGGGAGGCTGACCTCAGCCAGGCCTTTTTTAATGTCACAATATGGACAATGCCTCATATCTTTTTAGAGGGAAAAGCAATGGTTTCCCAAAAAATCATGGGTGCCTTTTTACCGCAGTGCCAGCGCAGGGAGCGGGGCAATGTTTGGGGGGTGGGTGTGATGGGTTTTAGCTTTCTGGTGCTGTTCACTGCCCTGCTCCCGCTGCTGGGGGTGAGCAGGGGCCCCCAGCCACGGCCACAGCCCCTGCCCTGTGGTGCAGCGCAGCTCCCTGGATCCGTGCCAGCCCCGGGCTCATCCTGCCCGGCCAGCAGGGTTGGACTCAGCACTTTATGTTAGACAAGTCAAAGGGCGCCAGCAGAGCCGCTGCCCAGCGAGTGCCTGTGGGTGTACAGCCCTGCCCTGGGCATCCTTGGGAGGCCTGGGGGATGCAGAGGCAGCATAGGGGGCTGGGGAGGGCTGGGGTACCAGATCCAAGTGCCTTCATGTGATTAAATCTGTCAAAACATCTTGGAAAGAGTAGTGCTGAGTGTGTGCATGTGTGGGTACGGTACATATAATGCGTGTGTCACTGGTGGCTGTGCTCAGTGTGGGGACACGGAGCCCCTGGGATCCCCTGAGCCCCTGGGAGGGGGAGATGCTGCAGATCAGTGCTGGGGAAGCACCCTCGGACTGCAGGGTTGAGGTGCCACCCCTTGCCTGGTGCCAAGGAGACACCCTCACACAGGAGGACAGCCCCCCCAGGCTGCCCTGGCACCTCCATCCAAACTCTGTCCTCCTGGGAAAAGGCCTCTGGTGCCACAGGGATGGCTGTCCTGCCCCTTAACAAGGAAAGGGAAAATTTACCAATTTACCACGTGGGCTGTGCCCTCCTCCCAGCTTTGAGACCTCAATTGAGTTTGCTCCAAGGAAGGTGTCAGGCCTTCCCCATACAGACTGGGGGGAACCTGGGGGGCAACCTGTGACCCCCTCCCGCCATCCCAGGCACTCTGCTGCCAACCTGCAGCCTCTGGGTCCTGGGGGGAATCTCTTAGCTGCCCCCTCCCCCGTGCCCTCATTGGCCCTATGCCTCCCCTCATTAATGAAATCTCTGTCCTCCCTGATGGCTGCTCTAATTACTGAGTTCATTAGTGGCCCAGCCAGGGGCCCTAGAGAGGGGGTGAGCCCTCTGGGGCCGGCGAGGGGTCCCCTACCCCTGTGCCACACTGACAGACTGCCCTGGGACGTGGCCACCGAGCAGAGGGTGACAGCGGCCACCCGGGTGTCCCAGCCCACCCCAGACAGCCCCACTGGGGATTCTGCACCCAGGTAAGGCTTCCACGGGCACACTCGAGTGGGGTGCAGGAGGTGGGAGCTGCGTGGCGGGGTTTGGAGGGTTTGGGGACCAAGGAGTGGAGGGCAGAGCAGAGCCCACCCCTATGGCACCAGGACACCCCCCTGTTGGGGGCTGCCACGCCCCGTGCTCTGGGTCAGCCCGTGGCCATCGCTGCGGGATCCCTGCGGGACGGGACGGTCAGGCAGGGTCCGGGGCTCGCTGCAGCCCAGCCCAGCCCAGGGCTGCAGGATGCCCGCAGCGCTTGGGGCCAGGGCTGCTGGCCCAGCAGGGCAGCCAGGGTAAAGCTGCAGCAATTCCACGGGGCTGGGGGAGGTAGAGAGCAGGACAGGAGGCCCGGGGACCCGCCTGCTGATGGCACCTGTCCCTCCCACGTTTATGGACGCCGCGGTCATCCCCTAAAACCACCATCGGGCCTGGGAGCCACTTCAGTCCCTTCTCTCTGCCAACATCAAGGGCATCATCAGATGCCAACCCTCGTGACTGGGGTCTGGGGGCACAGGACAGGGCTTAGCCGTGCCACCACTTCATGTCCTGTTCTGTCCCCCCAGGCTCCAGCCCCATGTCCCATCTCCCTCCCTTGGGGCTGTGGAACGTCCCAGGGCAAGGAGGCACAGCCAGGAGTGACCTGGGATCTGGGTTCCAGCTGGGGTGGGAAGCAGCCTGGGGACAGTGCTATGGTCAGGGTGGGGATGTGCCAGTTAGGGGCTGGGGCCGAGATGCCCCAGGTGCTGCATTGCTGTCACTTTATGGAACCTTTCTGGGGGAGAAGGTACCAAAAAAACCCTTTTCTGTGGCCTTAGTGCTCCATGTCTGTGAGGGATTGGGGATTTTAGGGTCTGGGGAATGAGGACTGTGGCCATCCCCATGGCATCAAGGCACCTCTGTTTGTGCTGATGCCCACATGTCCTGGTCCAGCCCATTGCTATCACTTTATGGATCTTCTTGGTGGAGTGCATTGAGAAAAATTCAGCATGGACTCAGTACCAGGGGCCAAGGGAGGAGGAGGAGGCCTAGGGAGGGCAGAGGAACCACCCTGGGCAGAGTGCAATAGCATCTGGGGGGGAAACACCCCATGAGTAACGGGGCTCTTAGGTGCCACAAAGTCTTGGAGGGCTGTGAGGACCTTGACTCTGGGCTGTCTCTGCCCTTATATGGTGAGCAGAGGCAGGGACGTGAGGGAACAAAGGTCTCCTGGGTGCTGGCACCTGAGCACTCCGCCTAGGTACGCTCACCTGTGCACCCAGCTCTGCAGGGAAGGTGAGCAGTGGGGTAGGGAGAGGGGACAGAGGGTGGGCATGGGGTGCACAACACATCCCATGGCTCCTGGCAGCAGGTTAGCCTGGGGACCCACCTGAGCCCCATCTCGGGGCTGTGCTGTGGGCGATGCTTCCCCTAGGTCTGAGGTATGGGATGTGGGTGCTCGTGGGGCAGCACGGTGGGGCCAGGAGGGGTTTTGCAGGGCTGGGAAGCAGAGACCTCCCATGTGGGCAATGCCAGCACTCCCTGCCAGCCTCCATCTGGGGAGCACAGGGTGGCTTTGCCTGACCCAGCCCCTCTGCTGGATTGAGGGGAGCACTGTCAGCCTGGCAGAGATGGCTGGGACAGCCTCGGCAGCACCGGCACCCAGCAGCCCTGGGGAGCCAGGATGTGCCCTCCCTGGGGGGCATGGATGGGCTGGGGGTTTGGAGCAGGGGGTCTGAAGCAGGTCCTGTGAGTGTGTGTGCGTATCTGTGTGTGTGTGTGTTGTGTGTGTAAGCAGTGGCCATGTCATGCTGTTCCACCTCACGCCAAGCCGTGCCAGGACAAGGCTGAGCAGGGCCAGTTCCTGCTGGTGCTGGGGAGGACAGGCCACCGTGCAGCAGTGTCACCCAGCTGCGGGTGCCCTGCACTGCCCCGTCCCCTGCTTGGAGACAGGGCAGGGTGCTGGGGCGCTTATGGAACCTGCACCTTCCCAGCCTGGACCCTGGTACGAGCTCATTGGCGGCAGTGCCAGCCGAGCTGAGGGGATGGCGCTCCACCTGTGTGCCACATTCCTCAGTGCTGGGGGTCCCCTCGCCCCGTGCAGCTCCGTACAAGGGGGTTTACAGCCGGGCTTTCTGCAGAGCAGGCAGGGAAGCAGATGGCACAGCAGGTTGGCCGTGTCCCAGCTCTTATTGACACTGTCTGCCATTAACGAGGGTGTTGCCAATGCTGGCAGGTCCCCGTGCCGGTGGTACCTGTCACCATGGTGGAGCTCAGCACCAAAGTCTCCAGGACACTGAACAAGACCACGCCGGGCATCCAGATATGGCGGATTGAGGTGGGAACGGGGGCACACCACTGGGGCTGCCTTGGGGGGTCTCTGTGAGGGAAGATCGTCCCTTTGTGTCCCCAGGACCTGGGTTTGGGGGTCTCAGCGCAGCACCCAGGGTTAAACACTGTAGGTCCTGGTGCTGGGGGCAGTGGGGTGCGTGGGGCTGGGCTGGGGGGTTCCCCTACAGGGCTGATGTGTCCCTTCCTTCTGCAGAACATGGAGATGGTGCCAGTGCCCACCAAAAGCTACGGCAACTTCTACGAGGGGGATTGCTACGTGCTGCTGTCGGTAGGGCAGTCAGGGGTGGCACAGGGGACTGGCTCTGCCCTGAGGGGCCGGGTGCAAGGAGGGATGTGTGGGGGCCTGGGGACACAGGGGCTCTTCTAGCGGGGACCGGTGTCCTGCAGACGCGCAAGTCTGGGAGCAACTTCAGCTACGACATCCACTACTGGCTGGGCAAGGAGTCGAGCCAGGACGAGCAGGGGGCGGCAGCCATCTACACCACGCAGATGGACGATCACCTGGGCTCCGTGGCCGTGCAGCACCGCGAGGCCCAGGGACACGAGAGCGACACCTTCCGCGCCTACTTCAAGCAGGGACTCATGTATGTCAGCCACCCCTGGGGACCTGTTCCACGGGGGGGACACTGGGGAGGGGGACAGCTCTGTCTCAGTGAGGTGAGGGAGGAAGAAGGAGGATCTGGAGCTGGGCTCCATCTATCCATTGCCACCTGTGGGTACCCCGAACACCTCCCTGTGCACGGAGGTGGGAGGGACACGCCAGTGGTGTGAGGAGGGGCACCCAGGGCTGACA